GTTGACATTCTTAACCGGAAGTTGACCATAACTTCATTAATATTGAAGATAAATATGTCGTGTTTGTACTCATTTTAAAGTATTTTTAATGAAGATTATAAATATGTCAAAATTGAGGTTGACATTTTAAACCTGAAGTTAGTTATCAGGCGTTCTGGCCAAAATAAAAATTTGAGACTTCAGATTTAAGTATTATCAATTGCGTTCTCTTTAACTAAAATATTTTCAGATTTCTAGCACTCCCGGTTATACCGGAAGTCGCCACCTACTTAATTTTTTTAAATGGAACACCCGTATATTTATACATATTTGGATTTGTCTGTTCTCAAGGTTTATAAATAACTTTACTTTTTGCAATTTGATTCGGCCGTTCTCGAGTTATTCGATTTTTTCTAAAAAAATCTGCTCCAGCAGACATTTGTTCAAAAAATCAGAGCACGCTCGATTTTTGGGATATCAATTTATGATTCAGAACATGCTTAAACAACACGATGGAGTATGTTTTGGTGCCGAGAACGGCTGTCTAGAACGTTTGGTCGCTTTACTATGGCACGTTAACTTTCTAAATTTGGAAGTACCATAACTTCATTTTTTTAAATGGCACCCCCCATATTTTATTACTTAGTCGTCTTCGGTGTCTCATTCGTTTGGAAGATAATTAGGGTTTTTTGAAAAATGCACACATATCATATGGATATCTAGCCTAGTGTGCCATTACTATTATGTTACCCGTATGTACAGGATGGGCAAATTTGGGTGTTATTATAGGCTATCTCAGAAATTATAAGAGATACGAAAAAAGTAGGTGCCATGCCTCGGTCTCTTTTTCTGAGACTAATCCTATTCCGCAAAGAACAAATCTCGATCTTCTTTTGTTTTTAAGTTATAGCCGAAAAGTCAAATTTTAGCGATTTCAAAAAAGGTCATATTTCGTTTATTTTTGAAATTAGTGAAATGGGGTTAATACATTCTGTACATCATTGGAAAGCTAAAAGTATGCTCTTTTCAGTAACATCATAATCAAGTATAGTTTGTATTTAAAAAAACACAACTTTGTGTTGTATCTTAAAAATCATCAAGTATGTTTAAAATTTTTCAACGGCAGTATATTCTACTTAAAAAAGTGACTTAAGAACGTATCAACCTCATTTCTCTAATTTCAAAAATAAACGAAATATGAGCATTTTTTGAAATCACGAAAATTTGACTTTTTGGCTATAACTTAAAAACAAAAGAAGATAGAGGTTTGGTGTTTGCGAGATTGGGTTAGTTTCGAAAAAAGAGACCTACTTTTTTCGTATCTCTTATAGTTTCTGAGATAACCTATAATAACACCCTAATTTGCCCACCCTGTACTCGCGTATGTTAATTTGAAAATTTTCGGATCCGCAATTTGGCATACATCAAGAATTGTGGCATAAAAATCGATGATTTTTCCTTTAATCGATAGGAAATGACCCAAAAGAAGAAAGACCAGAAATAAGCCATGCGGGAAGAGGAGGGTTTCGTCCAATCGGAAAAGATAGTCATGGTGTGTGTTCCAAAGACAGGACGGCGCGCCTTATTTCTTTATGTAGGTAAGATAAAGGCGCGACGTACTGTCTGGAACGCACCATCTTTTCGATTGGACAGAACCCCCCTCTCCCAACAGACCTTATTTTTGTTTCTTTTTAATTTATGATTCACAAACCGCGAAACTATATGGAATATCGATAAAATAAAATATGCCCCACATTAAGAACACAGCGGTTTACCACCAAGTTCAAATTTGAAGTTTTTTCGTCAAATAGTTTTGGAGAAAAAAAATTTCAAAGTAGACGAAGTAGCTGACACTCTCAAAAATCGGGTTTTTTTTTCACTTAACTCGCGATAAAAGAAAAACCGCGTACCCGGAAATTTCCAAATTGACATGTGATACGCAGAAATGTTCACTGATTACAATAAACTTTACCGCAATTTTTTTCATCGAGCGATTACGAAAATATTGACCTCTAAAGTGAGGGGCCTTGACTTTTTGCACGGATAGTAATGACGACGAAGAAATGAAATTTACAGTTTCCTGTAAATTACGGAGCGGTAGATAAAACCTAAAAAGTTGACAACTTTTACAAATAATAACATAACAAATAATTATGTTTATTACAACAACTGTTAATACGGAAATATTTAATGGATTATATTGTTTTGGATTGGAAAAATATGTTTTTTTAATTTTTAATTATAGTATCGTAATTTACAGGAAACTGTAAATTTAATTTCTTTGACAACACTATTTAATTTTTAGCTGATTTCAATTTTTCACAAAATTGTGTTTAAATGTGTAAAATTTTCATTAATGTATGTTTAAATTAAGTTACAAATTGAAATATTAATTTTACAAATACAATAAAACAGTTTTCAAAGTTTTGTATACCATAATTTGGGAATTGTAAAGAGAATACCATAATTTGTGACAGAATAATTTAATTAAACGAAATTCTCACCGATTCAAATAAAGCACCGCTAATTCCAATATTTCCTGATGGAGTTAACCCCAATCCGCCCACTAATCCGGCGCACATATCAGATAAAATATCACCATAAAGATTGGGCATCACCAAAACATCATATTGAGTTGGATCTTGAACCATATTTAAACAAACAGTGTCTAAATACTTCTCTTCAAACTTAACATCGGGGTATTTTTCAGCCATTTCGCGACAACATCTCAAAAATAAACCATCGGACATTCTCCTATTTAAAATTAACATATAATTAATACTTCAATTAAAAAAATATTAAAAAAAAATTACATTATATTAGCTTTATGAACCGCAGTAACCTTTTTTCTATTATTATCTTTGGTGTATTGAAAAGCAAATTCGGCAACGCGTCTTGACGCATCCTCTGTAATTAATTTTATACTTTGTACGACACCATCAACAATTTCATGTTCAATTCCAGAGTATTCCCCTTCGGTATTTTCTCTTATTGTTACAACATCAACATGATCATAAAGTGTTTTATATCCATCCAAACTTTTACAAGGACGAACGTTTGCGTATAAATTAAATTCTTTACGCAATGCTAAATTTAAAGAACGATGTCCTTTACCAACCGGTGTCATTAAAGGGCCTTTTAAACCAACTTTGTTTTTATTAACGGAGTCAATTGCTGCTTGTGGGATACCAAATTTGCCATCAGGGCCCTAAATTGATTCAATTTTAATTTGGGTTTTGTTTAAATTTGATTTATTTATTTACCCTAACTGGTGTAACATCAACACTTTCCCATTCTACTGGAACTTTAGCTGCGGTAAAAATTTTTTGAACTGCTGCTGATATTTCCGGTCCAATACCATCTCCTGGGATAAGAGTACATTTTTTAACATCGCTCCCGTAAAAACGAATCCCATTTGGAGTCTAAATGTTTAAAAATATTGGATGAGTCACAAAACCTAACCTAACTTTTTTTTACCTGCCAAAAAACACAGATATGAAAAAAAACAATTATGTAACTAAACTTTTTTTGAAACCGGTTTATTTTTAAGTTAAATAGGAACTATTTTTATAATTTTAAACACAAAAAAAATATTTTTATAAAGCGAATTATGTAATACTCATAGCCACGTTTTCTTACGAATCTTGAGCTTTTAGGATTTCTTTTTGGTTTCTTTGGTACTTACGAACTTTTTTAATAATCTAGTTGTTGCCATTTCCGTTCTTACTTGAAATTAAACGGTATTTTTTGGTTTTATTTTAATACTGACGGGATGTGGTAACCTAACCAATAAATAAGCATAAATGACATGTGGCAGTGGCGCCAAGGTGTCAAATTGCAAAACGAAAATAACCTCAAGAATAAAAAAGTGCATCAATTGCATTTAATCCAATAAAAATAATCCGACAATCTTATCGAATCCACTTGAAATAAACAAGTCATTATTTAAATTTTCTCACTTGATAAAACTCGATAAAAATAATTATCTTTAAGTGGTTGTTTATATCTATTTAAATATATTTTAAATTAGGCAACCCAATCTTCTTTTGCATGAAGTATAAATCAAAAATGTCGCTACTTACTGTTTTTTAATTTTTGAAATAAATTAAGCAAAAAAATACAATTATTAAATAAAAATTGAATAAATTAAATATAATTTTACATTAAAAATTAAATAAAATTTGCTTAAATTACATAAAATAAAAATAATTATTAATTGTACATAGATGTCACTAGTTGATTTAATTGATTTTTTTTAATTAATTAATATTTATTTTAAAACTTGTAATTAAATCAATATTTTTATTAACATAATCGCAATAGTGACTTATTTTGTTAATTAAAGCTATCCAAAAATCTTTTTAAACCTAATCAATAAATAAGTAGAAATGACATGTGACAGTGGCGCCAAGGTGTCAAATTGCAAAACGAAAATAACCTCAAGAATAAATTAAAAAAGTGCATCCAATTGCATTTAATCCAACAAATATAATCCGACAATCTTATCGAATCCACTTGAAATAAACAAGACATTATTTAAATTTTTGATAAAACTCGATAAAAATAATTATCTTTGAGTGGTTGTTTATATCTATTTAAATATATATTACTTTAAATTAGGCAACCCAATCTTCTTTTACATGAAGTATAAATCAAAGAGGTCGCTTCTTATTGTTTTTTAATTTTTGAAATAAATCTAACAAAAAAAACAACAGTTATTAATTAAAAAGTGATTAAATTAAATATAATTTTACATTAAAAATTAAATAAAATTTGATTAAATTGCATAAAATAGAAATAATTATTAATTATACATAGATGTCGCTAGTTGATTTAATTAATTTTTTTAATATTTATTTTAAAACTTACAATTAAATCAATATTTTTATTAATATAATCGCAATAATGACTTATTTTGTTAATTAAAACTATCCCAAAATCTTTTTAAACCTAATTAATAAATAAGTAAAATGATATGCGACAGTGGCGCCAAGGTGTCAAATTGCAAAATGAAAATAACCTCACGGATAAATTAAAAAGGTGCATCCAATTACATTTAATCCAACCAAAATAATTCGATAATCTTATCGAATCCACTTGAAATAATCAAGTCATTATTTAAATTTTTGATAAAACTCGATAAAAATAATTATTCTTAAGTAGTTGTTTACATCTATTTAAATATATATTACTTTAGATTAGGCAACCCAATCTACTTTTGCATGAAGTTATAAATCAAAAATGTCGTTACTTATTGTTTTTTAATTTTTGAAATAATTTTAGCAAAAAAATAACGATTATTAATAAAATTAAAAAGTGAATAAATTAAATATAATTATACATTAAAAATTAAACAAAATTTGCTTAAATTGCATAAAATAAAGATAATTATTAATATTATTAATTATACATAGATGTCGCTAGTTGATTTAATTGATTTTTTTTAAATTAATTAATAGTTATTTCAAAACTTGTAATTAAATCAATATTTTTATTAACATAATCGCAATAGTGACTTATTTTGTTAATTAAAACTATCCCAAAATCTTTTTAAACCTAATCAATAAATAAGTAGAAATGACATGCGACAGTGGCGCTAAGGTGTCAAATTTCAAAACGAAAATAACCTCAAAAATAAATTAAAAAGGTGCATCCAGTTACATTTAATCGAACAAAAATAAGCCGATAATCTTATCGAATCCACTTGAAATAAACAAGTCATTATTTAAATTTTCCCATTTGATAAAAGTCGATAAAAATAATTATTCTTAAGAGGTTGTTTACATCTATTTAAATATATATTAATATAAATTAGGCAACCCAATCTACTTTTGCATGAAGTTATTAATTAAAGATGTCGTTACTTATTGTTTTTAATTTTTGAAATAAATTTAGCAAAAAAACGATTATTAATAAAATTAAAAAGTGAATAAATTAAATATAATTTTACATTAAAAATTAAACAAAATTTGGTTAAATTGCATAAAATAAAAATAATTATTAATACTATTAATTATACATAGATGTCGCTAGTTCATTTAATTGATTTTTTTTAATTAATTAATATTTATTTTAAAACTTGTAATTAAATCAATATTTTTATTAACATAATCGCAATAGTGACTTATTTTTTTAATTAAAACTATCCCNCCAGCAAGCAACAAACACGTGTTTCCACATAATTGCTGCAAGTAACTTCTGGAAGTCGACTTCTAATACGTGTTTACACGACAAAAACTTCTGGAAGTCGCTTCTGGAAGCAACTTCCGCAAGAAAACTTGGTAGTGGACACACGGCTTAAGACAAGACCTAAAACTAGAATCATTCGGGTTTAGCCGCACGTCTTTTAAGACCGCTAAACCCGAACGATTCTAGTTCTAGGTCTTGTGTTAGTTCTAGTGATAGTGTAAGTATCGGGTTTAGCCATGCGTCTTCAGACATGTTGCATTTTATGAGGGATAAAGTAAGCCCTGGTTTCTATGGAAATATATTTTTGTATATTGCAAAAATCATCNAGAGAATACCACAAACCGTTTACTCACGTATACCCGACTTCTTCTGCAAGTCTTCAAAACACTTGTAGTTCACAGCAAGTCGTTCAAGTTACTTCCAGCAAGCAACAAACACGTGTTTCCACATAATTGCTGCAAGTAACTTCTGCAAGCCGTGACTTCTTGAAGTCGACTTCTAATACGTGTTTACACGATAAAAACTTCTGGAAGCAACTTCCGCAAGAAAACTTGGTAGTGGACACACGGCTTAAGACAAGACCTAAAACTAGAATCATTCGTGTTTAGCCGCACGTCTTTTAAGTCGGCTAAACCCGAATGATTCTAGTTCTAGGTCTTGTGTTAGTTATAGTGATAGTGTAAGTATCGGGTTTAGCCATGCGTCTTCAGACATGTTGCATTTTATGTGGGATAAAGTAAGCCCTGGTTTCTATGGAAATATATTTTTGTATATTGCAAAAATCATCCTTGTTAACATCCTTTGTTAAAAAACTTATCATTTTCTGGGGTGTATGTACACTTTATTGTATCACTTATCACTGTNTTTTAAATTAATTAATATTTATTTTAAAACTTGTAATTAAATCAATATTTTTATTAACATAATCGCAATAGTGACTTATTTTTTTAATTAAAACTATCCCAAAATCTTTTTAAACCATTAAATTCCCTCCATATGTTCCTCATCAAGTTAAGAAGAAAAAGTGTTATAACCGAGTTACAGCGACAGCAACTGTGCGTTAACACACCATTTGGCGCGTGATTTCGCAACCATCACTTGCATATGAATGAAACTGTGTCCAGAACGGAGCGCCCACGCACTTTAAAAAATGAAATATTCAAAACGACTACTATTATAAAATGAACTTTCTTTTTCCCAATCGTATAATTTTACTTATTACACTTCACTTTTGATAAAAACCGTTATAATAATTAATAATTATTAATAAAATTAAAAAATTTTGGAGGTTGGTAACAAATTTTTAGGTTAAGTTTTTAACCAAATATGTCAAAAAAAAGGGTGTAATCAAAAAATGTTATTGAGAATTTATTTATTTATATTAAGATATTTATTATATGTATAAAACTGTAGAAATATATTTAAGGTAATTTATTATTATTAGATTTAATCGGTAAATTTCATAAAAATTATTAAATTATATCAAGATTTGTTTATTTAGGTTGGTATTTGAATGTGTCAAAAATTAGTGTTTATTCAATTTGATGCTGTGAAACGATTTGTAAGTACTAATTAATCTTAATTAGTTTTTTAAATATTTTAATTAAGAAAAATGAACGTAATAATTGATTGATTGAGATCTGGTTAGGTTTTGGAGGTCGAAATATTCGTTCATATCATGCTCAAACTACAAAATTTCCACTGACTCTTGTATTGTATACTTTCTTCTTTCTTCTGGCTTATAAGCTTCAGCTTTATAGCTTCATAGCACATTACCTGTAGCTTATTTATCAAAATTTTAGGAATAAGCACAAAGCATGTTCAATTCTGGATCTGATTATTGCTCTATTTTTTCCCTTTTCGACTTTTCCAAGGATTTAATTAGGTTAATACCTCCTCTACTCCTTTATTGAGTTTCCTGATAGTTCTGATATTTCTTTTTCTAGTGAAAAGAATTAAAAAATGATTTATATGCCCTATTTAAACATTTCCCATTGGCTACTTCTTAATGTGGTTGTTGATTAGTCATTAACCGGTCATTTTGCGATTGTTACCGTAAAAGTCGACGTGTTGAAGTAAAAGGGAATGTAGGCTAAAACTCGATAGATGAAGAGAGGTAGGCGAAACCCCTGCGTGGTAGGTAAAACGTCGAAAACAATCCCACACAAGACAACATACGTTGTACGTATAGAAAGATCAAACAGAAAACAATCCCACACAATCGACACACGTTTGAAACGTGTCTGACCTCCGATTCAGACGAATAAGGAATTTGAATCATTCAAATCACTCTTTGTTAATTAATTAACAACGACGAAGTAAAAAAATAGGACTTTGAGAGATAAAACAAAAATTAATTTTGAACATATTGTTTGATTAATTAGATGGCGCCATCGTTCTTTAACGAGTAGGTTGCGGTTTAAGTATTTCGCCCACTGATCTACAAGAATCGAAGCTCGATGACGGCATTTCCAACCCACAAAACCACCTGTTGTTATTCTTGGTTTTGCTGATAGCGAAAATGGTCGAAATTATTGATTAAGATGTAAACGTTTTAGATTCACACATAAATGAGTCAATTTTTATCTACGTAAATTAGTCATTGATTTATTTTTTAATCGATGACTTCATTAATCAATTAACGGTATTTATTAGTTTGAGATAACGGAGATTTAATCTCGTTTTCTGAGTGCATAATG